CTGGCTTGGATGATGAGGAGTTGGGCCTCGACAGCTTGGCCTTCGGTACGGGCTTCATCTTGTTCTTGGGTCATGAGGTTGCAATGTTGTTATAATTGTTGGTACTGGGGGGTCTGTTCAGTAGGGATGGGGGTAGCTTGTCGAGGAGGAGGGGCCAGGGCGTTCATGATTTGGCGAGCCAGGTCCCTGGCGAGGGTGAACTGGTTTTGGATCTGGGCGTGGGACAGGCCTTGAATACCTTCATTCCCAATAGTCCCAAGGGCCTGGACTTGGGCGTTGATGTCTTCCAAGAGGAATGAAGCGGCCATGGTTGGGTGTGGGTTGGGTCCTGGTAGATGCAATCTTGTGTAATGGACAGGGTCTGTGTAACGACCCTACGTTATGGAGCTATGGCAACCTACGTCTACGCCCATACATAAGGCCAAGAGGCTATATGGTAGACTAGGAGGGCATGCCTGAGCATGTCCAGGAGATACCCGATGGTCCGGGTATCCCGAAGAACAGAAGGTACTTAAGAAATAGGTGTACCTAAGTAGTGGAAGTGACGTGACCACATCGGTTCCGGCCTAAGGATAGGTCGGAAGGCCGGGTGAGTTTACCCAGTCTAGGGAAATCACGTTACCCTGCCATGGAGACCAATTTCGTGTCACCATGGACATACTTACCCTACCTTTGGGACACTATTACCCTACCTTCCGTCGGAAACGTTTTCGGAAAGATTCCGTGTAATGTTAGGATTGTTTGTTACGCAATGACGATCGACGGGCACTTGCTTGTATATTGATCGGAAGACTACGGGAGGAGCTAGAGTGCTCCGAACATGCTGTAACTTGACAGAATTATTCCTAACAGGTACCTGCGGCCCCAGGGTTCGCCCCGGGCGTCATGGGCCAAAATGGGTGGAGTTGACGTTATGCTAGTTAAATGGAATCTATGAAGACATGTCCATAACACTGTATGCGTCGTCGCCGTCCGTCCGACCGGAAGCTGTTCGCAGGATATATAAGGGGGCCAAGGTGAGAAGGTCAAGTACCTTCTCCAAAAAGAACGGAGTAAAACGGACCAAAACTGACGGAGTTAGTGTGAGCTATCCGGAAGGGTCCCCAGAGTAGTCCCGGGTAGTGCCGGAGACATCTGGGAAGGTTTTACGCCAATCAAGCCTACACGTGCCCCTTTGCCGTAGGCTCTTTGTGGGTTGTTGGAAGACTCTAATAGCATGATACTTATCACGCTGAGTGGTGTGCCGAAGGTAAGGGACCATGGGTAGCGCCCACGGGTCCCGCCACCGACACAGCTCTACGTGGGAGCGTCGTAGACCCCGTAAGTTCGCAATCAAGAAAGATAGAACTTAACCGGAGGACACCTGATGTCTACGGGTGCTTGCATAGTTCATAGCACATGGGAAGAGAGTCATTTAATTAGCTTTCCTAGGAGTCTCGACAGTTAGCCACTGACGAGACACCGATGCGCAGAGGTTTTCACTCCGGCAGGTGTATTGGTAAACACCTCGCAGGAACCTATATGCATATGGGAGATTTCTGCTAGAGTGCGCTGACACCTTAGGCCCTTCGGGGATGCGGTAATGGTGCCGGCAACCCTTACGGAGAAGGGCATACTCATGTTGGTCGGGGCGACCTGATGGGGGAGTTTTTGGTATAAGTCTGACCACTTGAAGCTTATACGAGAACTCTCCTGCCCCGACAGAATCAACATCCTCTCGAGAGACTTTAATTGAGATAAGCCAGAGCTTAACGATATTAAGTTTTACCGTTTACTTTTATTCTTTACACTTTACAAGAGTTGTGTTCGAGAGATTCGAAGTTTGGTGCGGTCGCATCCTTAGGAACCATCTACCTGAGGGAGCCCCCGTTACAGTCTGAGGGTCGGGTAGCCTAAGGCACACCACGATCAGGACAGGCAGGATTCTGTAGACGAGGTCTAGGTGTGGGGGTACAACCGAAGTGAGTTGTACGAGGTTCGGGGTTCAGGGGTTCAGGGTCAGGGTTCAGGGGTTCAAGAGGACGCCAGATAATAGAGAGTATAATTCCTAGGTACAGGTGTTCGAAGGAGATTACCAGATTGCGTGAAGAAAGTAAAATATAAAGGGACACACCCCTTTATATATAAAAAAAATCCTCCATGATCACTAATACAAAAGGAAGTCCTTGGCATCACGCGCAGCTGTGATCCTTCCATCCAGTTCCGCCATGTTCTGCTATGCGACAACGCACCCCCACCACTCGTACAAAGGAACCCCAACTGCACAACCACAAAAACACAACCAATATATGCAACCAAAAATCCCATGCATGTTCCGCCTCCATAGCCAGTTGGCCATGACATGGGATCAGCTCCGGCCTACTGATTGGAATCCAATATATTGATAGCATGCTGGAGCAGATTGTAGAATTGCAGGAGAGTGGAGGAATGCCAACCAAGTAGTAATTATGTAAATTAAACACTACTTTCTCTACTCTCTACTCCATCTTATTTTATCATTTTGTTACTTCTTGTAATATTGTGGTGGTGGTTGTAGTTGTTACAACTAGGTCGTTCATCGGTTGCTTGTTCATTTCTTTTGTCACCAAGCTCATATACATTTTAGAGGTCTTGAACCATACTTCCATATTACAAGAACAATTTACATAAAGGTTGACTTAAGATATTTAGGGTTTAGTACTAGGTGGTTAGAGGATTGAGTGTTACATGTTACAACTCCCATGGTGATTCTTCCAGATACAAAGTGCTATAGTCTCACACAAAGAATGAAGTATATAGTTAGGATATATATTTGAAGTGGTTGGAAGAGATATAGATTGTGGGATTAGGACTTTGAACAAATATCTATGTAAGCATGTTTTTTTTCTTAACTAGAGCCAACACACCATACACCTCTACTCCCATCTCCTACCTCCACCAAAAGTTCTCTTCTTTGTTTGCCATTATAGTCATCTATTCCATTGACACCACATCTCCTGTTGCTTAACATGACCAACCTTTGTCTAAGAAACAGTACTCCCCTTTGCATGCAGCATAGCATTTTGAGTATTCGTTGTTCTGCCGCAAAACACCCCCTCTGAGCCCTTAAACTCCCCAGCTTTACTTGCATTGCTCTCGGCCAATCTCTATACTACCAATATCCATTATACCTTTGGAATACTCTCGTTTTTAAATTTGAAACCTAGACAATACTTCAACTACTCCCTGCTCTGGCAGAGAAAGCCAGGGCCTTATCCTCTATTGAACCCAAGTCTTCATAAACAGTATAAACTCGAATAGTCGAACAGCGTGTCAGGTATTTGAGAATTACCTACTTCAGAAATGGAGCGAAAAACACAGCAAAAAGCGGGCTCCTCAGCCCTTCTGAGACAAAAAAACACAAAAAGAGGAGACCATACCTCAGGAGGCAACTCCAACGACATAGCACACGGTTCGATTATTCAAGTTTCTACGCTACTAGGAGCCTACCGGCGACCATGCACCACTCCTTGTGTTTCTATTGATTTTCTGCACTCAATATGTTCCCATAAGACCTAGGTATTACTTCCTCAGTTCTATGTTATCACAGACAATACTGTACCTCGAGCCTACATCCTGATGCCGCCAACTGTCTGGAGCACCGTGTCCATTGTAAACCCAACCGCAGTCCCCCTCTCCTCTTTCTCATGTATCCAGTATCGCAACAACCTAGGGATTTCTACAAACCTTACATGAGGCTATCAACCCGATCAGACCGGGCCGGCTCATTGTTACATATGTCCGGTGGTGCGGCGTTTGGGGACCATGCTTTTTTCATAAGAGTTACCGCCCGGTAGACTGAGTCACTGTTTTTTTCCGTCCCATTTCCCGGTGGTCCGCTGGTGGTCCGCAGGCGGTAGAGGACAGCAGGTTTTCCTCTAGGGGCGGCAGGGATACGACGTAGTGGGCGGGAATCTGTGGATATCCGAATCAGAGTCCCAGGAAACACCCGGAAGACAACCACACACCACCTTAAGGCGACCCCACTAGACCCGAGACTTCTATGGCAGTGACGAGAAGGGGTCTCGGTCAGCCACCAATTAAGCTATGCAGATGGTAACTTCTAAGTGCCCCCTCCGAAACTTTTTAGTATGCTTCTATCCTTTCTTCCGATCCCTGCATATTTTCGCGCCCTTAAGGGATGTCTACAAGTTTATATTAGTTGGTATGAAGACAAGAGTCAGGTTTCGTCGGCTCTTGCAGCTAGTTATACTAATGAACACATTTTTTAGTATATAACACGTCAAAGTTTATCGGCAAACCAAACATTATAGTTACCAATAGTAGTAAATTAACTTTTGGGGCTATTCCAAGCTATATCAAGCTTAATAGAGCTTCCGACATGTTTCAGCAGCAGGATTCCGCGACACGACTCTGGGGCCACGCATTCTAGTTCTAAGATCCTTATGTCAATCTGTCATATTGTCGATATTATTATTTTTTCTTCCTAGTTTAGATGTCTGGTTACTCTAGTAGGTTGCAAATGTGGAGTTAAGAATGTAGGGCGGATTGGTGTTCCCATGGCCTTAGTGCGAACGAATGGTATGAAAGGGGGACAATGTTTCCGGAGGCGCTGAAAGTGAAAGGTTTTCTGTTACAAATAGGTATGATAGTCAGATCAGTAAGATCGGTAAGAGAAATCCAGAATTGAGGTGAATGCGACTCTTGAATACCTTTACCGATACCCACATATTTCCCTCCCTCCTATTTTCACTCAGTCCCTTCACAATCCAAACCCTTCGCACCGGTTATCTCTCCTGTCCTTCAGCCAAAACCCGTAGGAAACCCCCGGGAGAATCAGATAGACTGCAACTTACGGTCGGCCCACAGCCTATCCCCTGGATACATTGACCAACCCAGTGAGAGGACTTCACTTACTCTATCTATTATCCTGCTCCCCATTTTCCAGTTTCGCCCCCTCCTCCCTTAAAGCACTGGCAGTTCATCTCTACCTAACCACTGTTCACATAAGGAAAGTCAAGCACTTGTAAAACAATGATTCAATCTACCTACTTTGCTTAGTCGATCAAGGTAGGAACAAAAAAAAAAGGGGGGCATGAGAACAATGCTAATAATAATAAAAATCAAGTCCCGAGTATATCCACCTCACAAAGGTAACTGATACAAGACCCATGCCAAAACAGACTACTTTTTTTGTTCCACCTTTCCAATGTCCGCTGACCTAGACACAAGTTGCGATGGCTCTGGACTAGCCTCAGGCATTGCACCCCACGGCAGTTTCATAAAAGACTTGTACTGATCGATGAGTAATGGTACAGTCTAATAGTATTAGCATTGAATCAATAAAATGTCAATAAATATATCAAGCATACCAGCATCCCGGACCCAACCAAAATATAAGTCTTGCGACTAAAATTTTTGACTTCCTTTGTTATTTCCCCCACCGTAGAGTTCAGATCCCTTTTTTTTTCTGCCATATCCGATTTCAGCTCCCGTATATCACCCTTCAACTCAGTTTTAACCCCCGTCATATCCGATTTCAGCTCCCGTATATCACCCTTCAACTCAGTTTTAACCCCCGTCATATCCGATTTAAGCTCATCTCTGAACCTCCCCACCACCGACTCCAGCCTCGCTTCAGTTTTCGTCATATCCGATTTCAGCTCCCGTATATCACCCTTCAACTCAGTTTTAACCCCCGTCATATCCGATTTAAGCTCATCTCTGAACCTCCCCACCACCGACTCCAGCCTCGCTTCAGTTTTCGTCATATCCGATTTCAGCTCGCTATGCTGTTTGCTCATGAGTCCTTCGATCTGTGCATACTGTTTTGCCATAACTTGACCGACATCACATTTAAACAGTTCCGGACACTACTACCAATTAGTATGATAAACACTATTCAAACAGAACCTATAAACATGATCCATACCCCAGGCAGTGACAATGGAGAGGCACTGTCACCAGATTTACAGTTTTGCTATCCAAAATTTCATTAGTTATCATCCACCTTATTACCGATTGGACCATATACCAAGCCATCAACCGTTCTGGGGGTCTGCTCCGACGAAAACCTGGAAGAGGCTCCCAAGTTTGGCTGTGCCCGGGAAAAGGGGTGGGTGTCTCCGGCACTCTCTGAAGTGCCCGTAAGGAATCGTCTAACTTGAACGGAAGGTTGGACCTCTGTGCGAGGAGCTGCAGGGGCTAGTTTGGTAAAGAGTCTAAACATGGCTGTCTCGGCGTCTCGGCGTATCGTTGTATCAGGGTATTGGGGGTTTGACGAGGTGTTGCTAGTGGGTTTCGTTATTGTGAGTGGTTGGAGAAATACGGCTCGGCGCTGACTTCGTGTCAAGAATGGTGGAGTGGAAAAGGAGTTGTTTCTTCTCTGAGTGCTTGACAACCCCCTCGTTTTATGCACATAGCATGCCAGCGGGCAAGCCTCACATAGGCCCTACTATATTTCTGTATCTAGAATAGTCCAAAACACTCCAGCATTGGTAAACAAGGTGCGGTGAAGGGTTCACATCTTGTGAAGAAAGCCGGGTAATTCAAGAGAGCTACGGAAATCCTGGGCCCCTTTACCTACAGACGGCTGTTTAGTGTCCGGAGACGGCGCCTGCCGTTAAAGAGGACTAGATGGAAGTACCCGTGTGGGTGTTCGGCGGGAGTTTATCTAGCATGTGGCCTAGATTGTTCGGTGGCAGAGCCGACCACCCTTCTGGAACAATGTCAGGTCTTGACTTTCTACGAGCAGCAACCCGAAGTCGGGACGGCCGGTAATTAGATAAATACTTTTCAACTGTCTGTCGTATGATATGAACCGCAGTCTTGGCTTTGGCTCCACCATATAGGTTCACCGTAGATATTTCAGATTTAGACTAGTAGGTAAACGGACCCACAGCACCTCCAATTGATGGTGGTATGCTTTTACCCCCAAAGTAATTTCCCTCTCATGCACGCCTTCTGGTCCTTGTTGGTATGTTCAGAACCCTTCTTTGTAATATGCAAACTCTCGGGCGACGGACTTTTCGCAATGTCCTATGATGCCACTGCATCCAACCGAAATTCTATAGACTTAACCAACCTTTGTCTCGCAGAAACAGCACTCCTCTTGCACGCAGTGCAGTATTTTGAGTGCTCATTGTTCTACTGTCAAACACCACCTCTGAGCTCCCAGGCTGCCCAGCTATTTTCGCACTGCTCTCGGCCAACCTCTGTACCACCAACATCCATCATACCCCTAGAATATTCTCGCCCCTACATTTGAAAGCTAGAAAATATGCTACTTCAGCCTTTCATTGTTTTAGCAGGGTAAGACAGGACCTTACTTTCCATCGTACCCAGCCATTGTATTCTGAGAGCACACCCCCTACTGCACCAAACCACGTCCATTACCCTTCCTTTCTATCATACATACACCGACCGGTTTCTATCATATCCCTCCCCTCTTTGACGCCGCACCCCCTTCTCGGGAGCACCCCGGCATCCCCCTCCCAACAAAGGTCAAGCAGTGAAAATAAACTCCTTGTAAAGCAAAAGAATCGATTGCGATAGCCAATTACGGCAGCCCGCTAATATGCACCATAATATGGTAAAACAAGATAAAACACTGTCCAATACCGATAGCCGAAACTGGAACCTGTAGCTAAAGCCAACTTACCCCCATTCTTTTATTCCTTTCAGTTATCCTTCAGCTATCCGACGTGGACTTCACCCAAGGTAATTCGAGAGCTGTCGAAGGCATTCCGGTCACCAATTCGTCATTTGTTTCCCCCCAAACACACCATTCTCCACAAAGAAAGTGGGAACCGGAAAGGACAATCCAATGGATACCAGCATTTGTCCGGTGAGCAGTTCATGAGCATATCGCATAGTATCAAGCCCCATAACAGAACGCGCTGTTAACCAGAATCAAACCTAAGCGACATGACCCAACAATCCCGGGAACTTCCATGGTTCCTGGATTACTGCTCCCGCCGGGTATGTTCAAGCGGAGAAGGCAAAAAGAAAAGTTGGAAAATATAGGCGGAATAACAATAGAACCACCCTCCGTTGTCAGGATATACCACACCTACCCGAAATTAGCCCCAAACATCCCACTAGAAACACCGCTGATAACTGAGTCTATCGAGTAATAAATTGTGATTAAAGAGGAAATTATCCAAATCGGGAGAATAAGGCGTCTGGGCGCCCCCATTTACACGTTTTCATCAGTCTTTAGATTTCTAGATTAGCACCCCTCCGCCCCCCTTCCCGCGGACACCCGCCGAATGCCTGCCCGTAGGCGAACCAAATGCGCCAGAGACACTCCTCATCATACGGGCCCAGGGTTACTAAGTTAGAAGAAATTTATCGAACCCCTATCAACCAGACACATAGAGCTCAAAATTCCGGAAGAGGACATGGAGGCTGCAGGATTGATGAAACATGCGAGAAAAAACCTCACTATCCGAAGAAACCTACATCTGTAACAAGTTTGTCTGACAAGGAAAGGACGTAAGATAACCGAGAACAAAACTCATCACTTCATGGACCCGTAGCTAGACTGCTTGTTCTAGAGCCGTGTAGCAAAATACTGAAAGAGACATATCGAATGATGCCTCAAGACTTCGAATATCGCAAGAACCATCAATACCTACGGATTCTTTTGATAGCATTATAATTTTCGATGATCCGAGGCAGCTTTAACCACTCTTTTAGTGGCAGGAATTAATTCCGAGGACAAAGCCGCAATCTTTGGGAGATTTGTCGGGTCGGATAACCCATGTTTAGACCTCCCCTCCCCCCTCCATACAAAATCTAACAGCCAACTAAAGACCCTCGAGTTAGCCCAACATAGCCCTGACCCACTGAAAACCCGTCACTCATATCATACCTCCGATGCTGCTGCGATCAAAACAAAAACTCCCCATCTATGCGGCCCAATTTTGGGAGTTTTCGGTAATATCACACTTCAGGTTCCCAAACAAACTCACTCAATCGCAGATTTTATAACCTATTGGCTCCCCTCGATATCAGCTTCCATCTTGCAAATCATACCGGCACCACGCTTCTGCCCTCGAAGCTAGGTCTCGCCAGTGTGGCAACACATGCGAAGGAAGAAGGATCGAAAACTAAGAGAGGCATCAATGGTTGAGGGCGGTGAGAAAAGAAATAATGATACCAAAACATTCAATGCACGTAAGAAATGATCGCTTACCCTACTTACGGGAAAGCAGCGACTCCTTGTGCAAAGCAAACAAACCCGTATTGCATTGCCGAGCATGGCGGTTTGACTGGTGCTGCACTCTCTCCTCCCTCTCCCGTTCAGGCTGGGTTGGCAACTGGAGCGCTCATCTAGTGAGGGGCACCATATTGTATCGACAAATCAAGCACAATAACGACAAACAGGCTGCGGCGGCATTTCTGCCTTAAATTCCTAAAAAAATAAAAAATAAAGAAAAACTGGGGAATGCTGTCTCTTGAGTCGTGCTGGACAGACGGTCTCGATGCCGGAGAATTAGCAAAACAAATGGGTAGGATCTTGTGGGTTAGGGTAAAATGAAGTAAAAAAATTAAATCTATGATATGTTATATTGCCCGCGGGCCAATTCTTTAGCTAACCTCCTGCCCATGTACTGTACCAAGGCCCAGCACTCCTGGTTGCCGCTCTCCGTCCCCCATTGCCTCACTCCGCCTCCGAGGTGGGAGAAGTCACCTCCTCCCTACACCATACCCTGAGAATCTCAAAAATTAGGACCGCTTTTCCCACCGTCTCGATCATATACTTCCAAAAGATAATCCATGATTACGTGTCAATTGTCAATGACCACACTTACGGTTTCGCCCCTAATCCTGGAATGGCAGAACTTCAGGTATGTCGTCTTGGGGGGAGGGGTGCAGAAAGCTCACCGCAGAAATCTTCCCAGCTGCCTTCTGTGACTTCACAAAAGTTCAACTCAGCCAAAAATCCCAGGTGAAAGCAGCGGCCTCACCCACAAAAAAAAAACCCGAATGTCTGCCCACGAGGGATTGACACCATTAGTAGCCCTGCGATTCCGAGTTTGTGACAACCTTGATGCTTGAAGAATTGTAGTAATATCTATCGCTGATAAATCAATTTTCCTGAGAAAACCGTGTCTCTAGCAGTACTGAGATGCTTGGAAGTGCGATCCTCCTAGCTAAGGTGGGTGGAGCAGGCGTTTACGGGTGTGTGAAGGTGGTTGACAGATTTTTTTGACTTCCCACCTCTTATTTCTCTCATCTCTACCAGTAACCGCCAAGGGCCTGTCCGCAGCCACACCCAGAAATCCGCCACACCCTGCCATCCGAAGTTATCAGTAAGTATACAGTAGGACCGTAGCGAGTGAAAGTAATTTACTTGCAAGGCGTTTTTCTGGAATATTATACGGTGGAAATCCAATACATCATCATCTTAGCCCTGTCAAATTACCATAAGTCCTGTCATCCAGTTCTTCCCCATTGGTGAACCCAGGTAACTCTCACCCGCTTGTTGGCAGGAAGAGAGACACGAGTGATTTACTGTGATTGCATATTACTGGATAGGGTTTTATTATTCACTGTGAGCCCTTGCCGCCCCTCCTCACTCTCATGAGAAGAGTTAATGACTGTCATATACTGACCACCCTCCCGTCTCACCCTCTGCACTTTTTGTGAGAAGAGGAATCCCCGGCCCGGCATCCCTCCGAAATGCACAAATACCTGGAGGTGCTCCCATTCCCCCCACCCACATACACACAATCATCCCCCTCTCCATATGGATCTTGTTGACTCGATCAGCACAGCCCAGAAAACAAGATATTCCCGGAAAAGCTGTTATTGATACGTTGGTTTTTTTCTCCTATCACAATGTGGAGTAATTTCCAACGGCCGCCGCTGGACACCTCCATTACTCTGAAACAGAGAATGCCTGAAAGAAGGTAAAAGGTCAGACTCGGACACTGAACCCGATATAAATGCTCGCGCACGCGTATTTCCTCCTACCCCGGGTACAAGAAGTACGGTATAATACATAAATCAAGATACATATCATAATCCATACATGCCCTCACCCCAGTCCTGAACCAGCAACACCCCGACAAAAAAAAAACATCCATCAAATTGATTTTGGTTACATAACTATTGTATTTATTCATTCCCCTACCGGTATCCGTCTGACCAACTGTGCCACCCCCCCTCCCCATGAAAATGTTGAGAAAATAGAAAAAGTATTAAAAAAAAAACTTCCAGAGCAGTAGTATGATAGGCTCATTTGTTCCCCGCTTGCAGACAGCGGAATCAACACGAATGGTATCATACCATAGGTGATATCCCCTCCAGAGCATACAGTACCTCCTCCATCGGGCATTTGCACCATCTACGTCAAGAGATCCCCTCGATCCGATCCAATGCGGGATATACAAGTCCTAGCATGAGCGGTCCGAAAATAGGGCGGTGATTTTTCCAAGGACTTTCAGCTCCGGGAACCCCCGCTGTGTTCGGACTGTTCTTGCCAGGAACCTGTAAAGAAAGAACAAAAAAATCTTTGGCACAGGACAGAGC